CTAAATGCCCATCTCTGTGCTCTCAGCTCTCCGTACCTACTTTTAACATAGCCCCATCAACTGTTCCTATCTGGCCCTCTCATCAGTTGGTAATGCCTTTAAAGCTGGGATTGCTCCTTGCCTATGTCCAATTCATCCCAGTGCCTGGCAGGAAGCAAGTGTGTCCGAAAGAATTCAACCTTCTTAGCCAAAGCAGAATATTTTTCCAGCAGATGGTTTTAGAAAAACACACATTAGATTATATGAAATTGAATCTTAGGACTTTGACACTGGATGGACCTCAACCTTCAGAAGGGTGAAGTAAGGCCCGGAAGATGAAATGGCTTGCCCAGAGCAGAGCCACATGTCAGTAGCCAGGCTGCCACGTGAGCACCTTTACTGGTAGAACAAAGCTTGTTAGTGACATCAGAAACCATCCCGGGGCTGAGGTTTGTTCGGATAAGACAACCTGAAACACATTTGTTAGCTGGTATGGTCTTTCACCCCAAACTCTACAAAATGCTTTGGACTTTGTATTTTCTTTTTCGTTTCTATTAGATTTTTTTTTCTTTTTAAATTTTTACGTTGGGCACCTGGGTGGCTCAGTGATTAAGCTGCCTTTGGCTCAGGGTGTGATCCCAAGGTCCTGGGGTTGAGCGCCACATTGGGCTTCCTGCAGGGAGCCTACTTCTCCCTCTGCTGATGTCTCTGTCTCTCCCTGGGTCTCTCATTAGTAAAGAAAAAAAATCTTAAAAAAAAATTTTTTTTATCTTTTATTAATCCTGATTATAAAAGTTTACATGGTTATTATAGAGATTCTGGAATATGCCAAAAAGTAAGAGAGAGAAAATGAAAAATGATCTGAATTCCACCAGCCAGAGGCAGCCTGCATTATTATGGCATATTGCCACAGATCAATTTGTAGTTTGAATTTTATGTTTTTCCTTTTTTCGATTATTGTTCGATTATGAGTGAAGTCCTTAAAAATCAGGCCTTCCTTTGTAGTATTTGTGCCCTGAAACTTTTTAGTCAGCACACTTTGTACTGAGTTAATTTATAAATAAATCCTTGCCAATATTGGCAAGGAGCCAATAATGAAAATAAAAAGGAAAAAATGCTACAGAATCTGTTATTTGTAGTAGCTCTAATCTGTAGGAATAGATTATCTTTTCCTAATATCCAGGTGGCTTGCAATTTTTCCTTGTAATAAATGAAAACTATGTTTATTACTTCATCTCACTGTGATGAAACATCTCTTTATGAAATCTCTACCTGCATTTTTCATTATTGCTTTCTGAATCACATGTTATGTCCTTGACTTTGAAGGAAAGATTTTTAAAAGGTGAATTATTTCAAAATTTAGGATCAGCTCCAAAGATAATGCTGTTTTTCAAGTTGCCTGAAGAGGACTGATTCTGTTTCAATCAGAAAAATGTAAGATAATTTAATACACAGTGAAAAAATTTAACAGAGTGAAGTGGTGTTAAGTTTTGCCTGTAACATAAGAGACCTGGCTCTTCATATTTGAGGGGAGGATTGATGTCTCTTTTTACCTACAGCTGTAAATTGCATGTTAATTGCCGTTACCCAGTGTAAGGGAGAGGAGCTGCTTTTTGAACTATATTTTCCAATTGGTATAAAAGTTAAATTATTTGAGTTCAGAGATACAGTAACTAGAAAGACTACCTGGTTCTTAGAATATGGAGACCAGCTATAGGATTTAAGTTTGTGGCCATAGAAAATACCCAAGTAACATAAAGCCATCTCCCTAATCTGCTCACAGAAGAGACTTCCATCTTAAGCCTCACAATATAAATTTTAAATATCTACAGCATCGTAAAAAATATATATTTTAGGGGCACCTGGGTGGCTCAGTCAGTTGAGCAGTTAAGCGTCTGCCTTCAGCTCAGGTCATGATCCTGGGGGCCTGGGATCAAGCCCTGAGTCTGGCTCCCTGCTCAGCAGCAAGGGGGGGGGGGCTGCTTCTCCCTCTCCCTCTGTTGCTCCCTCTGCTTATGTTCTCTCTCTGTCAAATAAATAATTACATAAAATCTTTAAAAAATATATTTTGAGCCAGGTAAAAGCTAAAATAAAATTCAAGTTTGACAGACTAAGAATGAAAGGTCTATAAAAATAGACCTCTAGGAACGCCTGGATGGCTCAGCAGTTGAGTGTCTGCCTTCGGCTCAGGGCATGATCCCAGGTCCTGGGATTAGGTCCTGCATCGGGTTCCCCGTGGGGAGTCTGCTTCTCCCTCTACCTGTCTCTGACTCTCGCTGTGTCTCTCATGAATAAATAAATAAAATCTTAAAAAAAAAAAAAAGATCTCTAAATGTTTCTGTTTTATGTTCTAAGTGCATTTGTGTTGTGGAAATTACATAGATACTAGCTTATGGGGATTATACTTGCATTTCACAAACCTATAAATGTATTTTATTATATTAATATGGTCCAACTATCAAAACCTTGCTTATTATGAAATAAACAATAAAAATAATTATAAAAAGGCAACACTACATCTCACAACAGTTTTCAGCGTGGTGCACATTTTCCAACTTGCCTTGCATCATTTTTTTTCTTTTTTAATCACTAGAGGAAACTGCTGAAAAACAGGATTTTTTTTTTTTTTTACAAAGCAATTTTGAGCCCGCAGGAGACTACGCCACTGCCACCGCTGAGACTCTTCAAAACAAAGACTCATGGGGGCTCCTGGGTGGCTCAGACGTTAAGCATCTGCCTTCTGCTCAGGTCATGATCTCAGGGTCCTGGGATTGAGGCCCACATCGGGCTCTCTGCTACTCAGGGACCCTGATTCTCCCTCTCCCTCTGCCTCCTGCTTGTGCTCTCTCTCTCTCTCTGTCAAAGAAACAAATAAAATCTTCAAAAACAAACAAAAAAACAGACTCGTGTTTCAGAGGAGAGCCTGCCAGTGAAGATGGGGTATGAGGCCATAACCCGGTTGAGCCTTCCATACAAATCTCTCACAGATTTCCAGGAAGGAAGACATAAGACCCACATTTACTGATGTATTACGATGTCCCAGGGCACTCTGCACACATCATTCCATCTAACACCCCCCTCACCCCGTGCAGCTCCACAAAGTAAATGCCATTATGATCCCCATTTTACAGAAAGGAAAGCTCATGTCCAAGGGAGGTCTGCTGTCTCTCCCATGAGTCAAATGGGGAGGGGGTGGCTGGGACTCAGTCCAGGGTCGGAATGTCCTTTTAACTTCTCATCCCTCACGCTGCCCCACTAGGCACGTTTTAACATGAAGAAAGAAAAAAACAGTAGAAATCAATGTAGGAAAGAGGGTAGAGTCCCCCCAAATTGGATTTCTTTCTTTCTTTTTTTTTTTTTAGAAAAAAGATTTTATTTATTTATTCATGAGAGACACAGAGAGAGGCAGAGACACAGGCAGAGGGAGAAGCAGGCTCCCTTCAAGGAACCCGATGCAGGATTCGATCCCAGGACCCCAGGATCATGACCTGAGCCGAAGGCAGATGCTCAAACACTGAGCCTCCCAGGCACCCCCTCCTGTCACCCTTTGATTTCAGGTTAAATCCTTTGCCCTCAAGGGCTGAAGGAGGGGGGCTAGTGGTGACCTCATAGATCTCTTTGGGCCTAAAATCCTATGAAATTGATTTGAAGAAGAAAAGATAGACTAGAAAAAAGGCATGTCTCCTACTCCCCCCACAAAAAACAGATACTTTTGGCCTTGGGCTATTTAAAACCTAGCCTGAAATATTGAGGTATAGTACCTAGAGTTTTAAAAACCAACATTCTTTAAAAAAAATCATTTATAGAACAAAATTCAGCCCAGTTGAGTTGATAAAGTTCTGCAAGGACTGTCACAGATAAATCTTCAGATAACTTGGCCTTATGGTTGTCTTTGCCCCCCACCTCTACTTCAGTACGCAGAGCAGAACCGCTCGTGGATCCTCTTCATCACAGAATGGTAGCATTGGTAAAGCCTCCAAAGCCTGAAATTCCCCTCCATGATCAGAATCTCCTACCCTCCTAAATCTATCCTGCCACCTCATCCAACCATGAATTCTTCCACTCCTGCCATTTCAGCCCGCTAGAGAATGTGAGTCACTTGTGTCCTTGGGATCCATTTCCCCTTTGTCGCATCCCTGCCATTCCTCCCACACAATCACTATGGTGTAAGGGGGTAGTGATGGGGACTAGTGACTCAGGCCTGTTCAACAAGTACTTACATGGTGCTTACACTGAGTAGGCATCTTCTAAGTACTTTTTTTTATTTTTTTTTAAATTTTTATTTATTTATGATAGTCACAGAGAGAGAGAGAGGCAGAGACACAGGCAGAGGGAGAAGCAGGCTCCATGCACCAGGAGCCCGACGTGGGATTCGATCCGGGGTCTCCAGGATCACGCCCTGGGCCAAAGGCAGGCGCCAAACCGCTGCACCACCCAGGGATCCCTAAGTAGACTCTAGGGATCCCTGGGTGGCTCGGTGGTTTAGCGCCTGCCTTTGGCCCAGGGCACGATCCTGGAGTCCTGGGATCGAGTCCCACGTCAGGCTCCTGGCATGGAGCCTGCTTCTCCCTCCTCCTGTGTCTCTGCCTCTCTCTCTCTATGTCTATCATAAATAAATAATCTTTAAAAAAATTTTAAAAAATTTTAAAAAAGACTCCATTTATTTGAGAAAGAGAGAGTGAGTGACAGAGCATAAGTGGGTTGAGAGGCAGAGGGAGAAGGAGACTCCCTGCTAAGCAGGGAGCCTGATGCAGGACTCGATCCCAGGACTCCAGGACTATGACCTGAGCTAAAGGCAGACACTTGTTTACTGACTGAGCCATGAAGGTGCCCCTTCTAAGTAGTTTTTAAGTGTTAACTTATTTAAGCCTCATAACAACCATATCAGATAAGTACTGTTATTCCCATTCTATTAATGAGAAAACTAAGAAATTGGGAAGTTACTTGTCTAAGGTGCACAGCTAATAAGTTTTATTTTCCTCTGACTGGTATGATTGGTTCAGCATTATGACCAAATAAGAGCCCATATGATGCAATTGCTGGGGCCTCTCCCGAAGAGACTTTTGTTCTTCCCTGAACTTGAAGTGGGGTAGATGTGAGGAGCGGTACAGCCATCTGGTGACCACAGGAAGGAAGCGTCTTTATGAATGAAGCCATCATAGGCCTAAGGGAAAAAAAGAGAGAACCTGAATCTCAATAACAAAATGGGAGCCCGTGATCAAACCATGCCTGAAGCTAGCCCTACTCACGACTTTTTCAGTTTGGTGAGCTAGGGAATTATTTTTCTGTTTAAAAAAAGTTTGGTTTGAGTTATTACCTTTCACTTGCAAAAAAACCCCAAAAAACAAACATTCCTAGCAAGTATTGCTCAGTTCATCAACTTTGTAATTCAGCCTACCTAGCTTTTTACTATTATAAAGTCAGCTCATGAGAAAAATGAGCATTCTTTGGTGAATATAAACACTTAAATATTATAAAGTTTTGTTTTGGCAGCATATTATACCACAGAAGTCATGATTCATACAGATCAGTACCAGCATACACACTTGTATAATTTCATGAGCACAAGCATGCATGGCCCTGATTTTTTTTTTTTTAAATCAAAAATGCAATGCAGAACTAAAAATGTCCAAATGAGGGGCACCTGGGTGGCTCAGTGGTTGAGCATCTGCCTTTGGCTCAGGTCACCATCCTGGGGTCCTGGGATCGAGTCCCACAGCAGGCTTCCTGTGGGGAGCCTGCTTCTCCCTCTGCCTATGTCTCTGCCTCTCTGTCTTTCTCATGAATAAATAAATAAAATCTTTAAAAAAATAAAAATGTCAATCTGCTGAACTACTCACCAAATCTGTCTCTTGGTCCTTGTTTTTGTAGACTTTCCTGCTGCATTTCACCCTATTTGCTCTCTGCTTCTTTATTCCCTTCCTCTGGATTCTCTAAGAAGTTTCCTTCTTTGGTTTTAGGCTTCTCTGTTTTGTAGTCACTTCCCCCTTGTGTCTCACAAGTGTTGGCACCTCTCAGTTTTATTCCCTACGGAATAAAAACTCAGTGGTACGCAGGATTGGGCTGTAACAAAAAGCCGCCCTCTCGGCCCTTCCCCCCAGAGTAAGCCCCAACAGCAGCCCCACCAGAGCTGTGTCCCCTGGCTGGCCCTGAGCCACCGAGGCTGGCCCGGCGCACACCTGGCCCTGCTCCCTCTGCTGGGCTTTTCTCTGCCAGTCCCAGGAGGGGGGCCGTCCTCGCGTCAGAGTTGCCTCCCCGGGTTGAGCAGGGGAAGGACGAGGGCAGAAAGGAAACTAGCCCCTTTTCAGAAGGCATGAGCTGCGCACGTCACCACTTGGGCGCATCCTGCTGGCCAGGACGTCCCGCGGCCACAGCAGGCTGTGGGGGAAGCTGGGACACAGCATCTGCAGCCGCGCGGCCGCGTGCAGCCCCACCTGGGGACGGGGCTCCGGGCAGCGAAGAGCAGTCCCTGCAGCCTCCCTGTCCCCTGCTTCTGTCCTCCCTCCCGGGGCCCCCGCCCCATCTCCTTGCAGCGCTCTGTTCTCCACACAGCGACCCCCGGCCTAGCTGAGCCTCTGGGGCTGCCCCAAACCCAGATCCACCTACACGCTCTCCCTGCAACTTCCCTCCGCCTTCCTCGATCCTCTGAAGGAGCCACCCACACTCCAAATCTGATGTGGTCAGATCTGGTGTGATCTTCAACTCCCACCCCTGTGTCCCGGGGCCTTGGGCTCCCACTACCCCGGAGCCCCGGACAGGGCTCCCGTCCATCTCCTGTTCCTTTCCTCCCGCCACCTGAGCTGCTGGAGCAGCCGCCCTCCTCCTCCGGGCTCTCCCCTTAGCCGGCCTTCCCCAGGGCCATCCAGAAGCATCTGTAAAGTATAACTCAGACTGGTCACTCCCTGTTCAAAGCCTTCCTGGACTCTTCCGCCTATGGCTGAAAGTTGGAACTCCTTAACAGGTGGTTACAATTGACCCTTCCAGGATTTTCTCCTGGACTCCCAGAGTATAAGCTATGGGGAGTGTATGCCTCCCCAGTGGGCCCAGATCCCTCCTGTTGCTGGCTCAGGTGGTTTCTTCCGTGGCTTCCCCCCCACCCCCCACCCCGGACACTCACACATCTCTGCTTTTGTAGCCCTTTGCTTCTAAACTCTTGTTTGGTCCTTGACCCAGGTGGCCTAGATGTGTCCAGATGACTCCTACTCTAGGGACAGCCCTGAGCTTTGTCCCTTGGCCTGTCCCTGCCCTGCGTGCAGGATGGGTGGTGTTGGCGCCTTCCTCCTGCTGCCCGACTAACTCTATGACAACTTTCTTACCAAAATGCAAAACTTCCTGAGGGGAAAGGGGCCCGGGGAGCCAGCTGAGCGCAGTCGTTGCTGAGGTTCAGGACTCTGGTCTTGCATCCCACCCCTGTGCTGGTGCCTGGCCCTGTCAGGGTGACCTAAGAATCAGCTGCTGGGCGCTCTCTTGCCAGCTCCTGCCAGCACAGTGGTCTGCTTTCCAGAGCTGTGCAGACTGTGGACTAAATGCTTTCTGTAACCCGATCCTGAGTTAAAAATAATCCAAAGGTCTGACCCACTAAGAGCATCCTTGGATCTTCCAGGTAGGGTAATCTTTTCCTGGCAGCTCAAGTCCATGCTTTAAAATGAACCCCGCCTGGGACACCTGGGTAGCTCAGTGGTTGAGCGTCTGCCTTTGGCTCAGGGTGTGATCCTGGGGTCCTGGGATCCAGTCCTGCATCAGGCTCCCAGGAGGGAGCCTGCTTCTCCCTCTGCCTGTGTCTTTGCCTCTCTCTCTGTGTCTCTCATCAACAAATAAATAAAATCTTTAAAATTAATAAAATAAATAAAATAATAAAATAAAATAAAATAAATTGAATTTAATCCCACTCCTCTCACCCCCTGCAGCCAGCCAGCTTCACCTCACTTTCACCTAAACTATCCGGGCCCTTTCCTTTCCCAATAGAGAGCTTCTCTTGGCCCAGGTTTGGAGAAGACTTCTGGCTTTCTCCCCTCCTTATGGGGCTGGTGGAGTGCAGTGGGTCCCACCCCTCCCTTGGCCTTGGGTGGAACTGCTGAGCTCTCAGCCAGATGCACTTCTGCTGAGCAGACGCTGAGCAGAGACACCAGTCCCTGTGAGTTCTCTTGGCTGAGTGCCCCTTCTCACCCCTCAGTCCCAGCCAGCCTGCCAGAGGCCTTCAGCCAGTAGCCACAACAGGGTGAGCTGAGGACAACCACTTCGCCCTCTTGTCAGCCAGGAGGGACACAATCATCTGTGTTCCCCCAGCTTTCTTTCCACCCCAAATCAAGGCCAGGTGGAAAGTTCCAAATAGTATTTCTTTGGGAGGCTGCTGTTGGGTGGTAGCAGCCGTGTGAAACTGGATTTCTCTTCCTGCCCAGAGCAACAGCCTCATCTTCAGCTAAAGGGAAGCTTCAAGCTTTTACCATTTGGAACTTGTCTCCAGGCTGCAGATGAAACCTGCAGTTTCTGACTAAGACCAGAACAGCCAAGCAGAGGCCTGGCATTGATCCAGGTCCACGTTCTAGGCGTTCCTGCAGCCCAACAATACATCTGCCCTTCCTGTGGTCAGTGAGCCATTCCATTTTTATTCATTTGAATTAGATTTTTGCTAATTGCAACAAAAAAGGACCTGGTAAATATATCTCCTAATTGGTTTTCCTGCCTCCAAGCTTGCCAACCTCCAATCCGTCCTCTAAAGGGCTTCCAGATGGATCTTTCTAAACTGCTGATCTAGATATGTCTTCCTGCTTAGAACTCTTCAATGACTCCCAGCTAACTGAGGAGAACATCCAAATTCTTTAGCATCGCATTCCTTAGACTCTGGCATCTGAGCCAACATTTCCAACCTCATCTCTTGCCTTTCCCATTTCTTCAATTAACATAAGCCCACTCTCTGGTGCTAGAACCATACCACACATGCTCACAGTTCTAGGGCTTGCTTAGACTTTGTCTTCTGCACGAGTGTCATTTCTCACCAAATGGACTCCCACTTGTCTTTCAGATTCCATCTCCAATGATGATGATGACTTTCTCAATACTCAAACCAAAAACAGTTGTTTTCTTAGCTTCAATTTCAAAGCACCTTTATAATTCACCATTCAACAAATATTTGTTGAGCAACTCCTATGTGCCAGGTCCTATGCCAAGAGCTGATGAACTCAACTGACACAGTCGTTGCTCTCATGAAACCTAGAGTCTAGTGGGGCTGGATTAGAGGCAGGTAGTGACTACAGACAAATTAGGGTGCTTTTGGCTCCTGTACCAGAATAGTTCATTCAAACTAGTTTAAGCAGTGAGTGCTATATTACACAGCCTAAGAAGTCAGGAGGAAGGCAAGTTAAGAGTTGGTGAAGTTAGTGGATCAGTGATGTCTGGGACTGGGGATATAAGGTAGAATAAGGGACCTACCTTATAGGACTGCTGTAGGATTAAATGAGTTTGTATATTTAAAGCAATAGAATAGTTCCAGGTACATAGTCAATGGGCATTAGTTCCGTGAGTGTGAGTTATTTGTGAGCTCAAAGATGTATGAACAACCCATCAGCGAATGAGTGGATAAGCAAATTGTGGTCTATTCATACAATGAAATATTATTGAGCCAAAAAAGGGAATCAAGTACTAATACATGCTACAATGGTGATAAATCTCAAAAACATAGTGCTTAGTGAAAAAAGCCAGGCATAGAAGGTCATATAGTGTATGGTTCTATTTATATGAAATATTCAGAATAAGTAAATCCACAGAGACAGAATGTAGATTAGTGGTTGCCAGGGGCTCAGGGAAGGGCAGAATGAGGATAGACTACTTAAGGTAAGAGATTTCCTTTTGGGGTGATAAAAATGTTTTTGACCTAGATAGTGGAGGTGGTTGTAGAACATTGTGGCTATACTAAATGCCACTGGATTGTTCACTTTAAAATGGTTGATTTTATGTCATGTGAATTTTGTCTCAGTAAAGAAAATATATCCAAAATGTCGTTCACTGAGACATGGTTTGAAAGAGCAAAACATTGGGTACAATATCCACCAATGTTAAATAAATTAGGGTCTATCCATACCATGGTATCTCATTTAGCCATTAAAAAGAATGAGTGAGAGCTATATGTACTAATTTGGAAAGATCTCTAAAACATACAGTAAATATGAAAAAATAAGTCCTAGAGCATTAGAGTGTGATTCTATTTATTAATTATAAAATGATATATGTGTATTAGTTTATAAATGTATTCAAAGGTACCTAGAGACCCAACTGTTGAGAATGGTTACTTCAGGGGTGTCATAGGAGGTAAAAGGGAACTTGTACTTATTATTTTGTACACTTAAGTATTATTGGAACTTTTATAATGAGGATCTACTTAGGAAAAATAGAGTAAAAAATGAGAAATCACTTTATCTGCATTGATTGGCATAACTGGAAAAGTGTAAGACCTACTGCTGGTGGGACAGGGGGAGAGGGTGTTCTCATTCAGTGCTGGTGGAAATGGGAAGAGTTACAGCTTTTTTGGGAAGTAGTCTGGTGGCATCTATTAAAATAAAAATACATATACATTTTGATCCAGTGACCTCATCCTTTTTTTTTTAATAACAGCTGTCTTGCTAAAATTCATGTGTAATATAATTTACCCATTTAAGGTATACAATCTTATGGTTTTTAGTAGGTTCAGAGTTGCACAGCCGTGACCACAACCAATTTTAAAACATTTTCATCACTCCAAAAGGAACCCCAACCCTGTCCTGCATCCATTAGCAATCACTCTCAATCCTCCTCTCTTCCTACCCACCCCTAGGCAACCACCAACAACCCATTTCTGTCTCTTTGGATTTGCCTACTCTGAACATTTCACATAAATGGAATCATTTATTACTGGCTTCTTTCACATTGTATCATGTATTCAAGGTTCATCCGTGTTGCAGTAATCTCTTTCTTGGGGGTCCATTCCATAGCAATAAAAGCACCCATGCCTTGGGACATGTGTATAAGAATGTTTACAGCAGAAATTTTCACAACAGGAAAAAAGAGAGGGGGGGGGAAGAAGAGAAAGAAAGAAAAAAAACTGGAAGTGCCATGGATGCTGGTTAATTGGAAGAGACATGGAATACCACACAACTGCAGAAGAATGCAGGAGTGCCCTGACAGTTAAATTGAAGGGAATTCCTTGAGTAAGAAAAAGGAAGATACAGAAGGATGCAAAAAATATTCAAATCCAATTTTCGATACATGAACTCTTTTTTTTTAAAAGATTATTTATTTATTCATGTGAGACACACACAGAGAGAGAGAGGCAGAGACACAGGCAGAGGGAGAAGCAGGCTCCATGCATGGAGCCCAACATGGGACTTGATCCTGGGTCTCCAGGATCACACCCTGAGCTGAAGGCAGACACTTAACCGCTGAGCCACCCGGGCATCCTGATACATGAACTCATCTTAAAAACAGTCCTCTGTATTTAGGCCTTAGACCTGAACCTGAGAAGACCTGAACTTTCAGGCTTCAAAGATGGCAGAGATGAAGCCCTTGAGTCTGGCTCAGTCCCACTCACAAGCTCCACAGAGTCTGAAAAAGTATATGAGAAGAGCACGGAGTATTTCTAAGAGAGGGCAGTTCCAGGGGTTGCCTTCTGTGCCTCCCTCAGGAGGGTAGGAGGTTGCGCTCAACAGATGCCTCCTGGGCTTTTGTCTTCCACCGGCCCCCCTTCCCCCAGAAAGGCCCTGCCAGCACCTGGTTAGGTCACACATCGCTCAGCAATCCTGGTGCTCTGCAAACCCTGCCGGCCAGGCCCAGCCTCCAGGGCCTGAGAGCCAACACTTGTTAACTCATCCACACTGAGTGACTCCCTCTTGTGGTGCGTGAGTCTCAGGTCATGGGGCTTCCCATTATCTGTGTCTGCATTTGCAGAATCCAGGACTTTACAGTTCATGTCCACATAGGAGCTTCCTGTGGGCAGGCCTGGCTACAGCTTCAAACGGTGTGTGTGTAGATGGAAAATGAGATGGACAGACACATAGTTGGGCACAGGGGTGAGTAGGTAGGGGTCAGGGACCATGTGGTTAAGGGAAGACCAGAAGACCAGAGAGGGAAAGGGGAACCAATAATTAAAGGAAAACACAGAGGAACCATATACACTTGCATTTATACATCTGGAAAAAATTGTGCATATGTTAAGGCATTATAAAGACATGAAATTTAAAGATTAAAATGACAAAAAGAATATATATGCTACTTGGGTGATTTTAAATGATTCGAAACAAAAAATCCCAGCTGCCTGACTGCAAGAAGGACTTAATTCTTCCCTCCTTTCGTCCAGATCTTACCCCAGGGAAGGGTTTTGTGCAGAGGACTGTGAGCTCTCAAGCTACAGTTTGGCTTCGTGTGTTCCCTTA